ATGGCCCAGAATCAAAGCGTATAAGAAAATATAAGATCTGAACTAACTAAAACTCGAAAGCCCACTTGTATTAATTAACCAATCTGATTACAAGGAATTTCCCGATCGGTAAGTCGGAAACTATGCTTTAATACAAGAAATAAGAGCAAATGATGCTATTCTAGAGCTTGAGTATTGAAACGCTAACCCTTACAATGACTTGAAACCTTCTATTTATACTAATGAAGAGCATGGGCTGCCTCTTGCTGATTGGCCGTTGTTCCACCGACTTGGTCATCCATGCTTACACTTGCTGATGTCATAGTCTGACATTAATTGCACCTAGTCACTTGCTGGTTGGCCGTTGCTCGAACGGGATGTTGGGCTGCACTGAAGATGCTGTCAAATTGGCCCAAGTATGATATATAGCCCGAACCTCGTTCGGTATGTCTTCTTACTGGGCCAACCTTTATTTGGGCCGAACTCCGTTCGGTATGTCTCCTTCCTGGATCTTTTCATCATAGAGTGATGGGCCTGTTACTTGGGCCGGATATCTTGGGCCTTCCCGATCTGGGTATTGGGCCTCTAGGTCAATATCCCAACAATATGTTTAATAGGCATGACTATATTTTTTGTGTATAAAGTTAATATGCATGCCTAAATAAGATTTAATTTTAGGTTAAACAACATGCATGATTATTCAAACCTTTTTTTTTTATTTCAGACTTATGTGTTACATTATATGCATCAATATTATTCTTGAATAGATATAGTTTAAAATACATACCCGAATTATTTAGGTTATTTTGGAGTAATTTTTGGACTTAGAATGAAGCATGCCCAATAGAATTCTTTGGACATTGTTAGGATTATTATTATTTTATCATCTATCAAAATTATTATTCCCGAATTATAATTGCTTTACTTTTTAAAATATATACTTTTTCTTGATAAAATATTTCAAAAATTTATGATTTATCAAAAAAATATTTCAAGAATTTATGATTCGGGAATAATAAAGTATATATTTCAAAAGTATTTCAAATTATTTGTACATTACTTTTTAAAAATACATAAAGAAAAAGTAATAATTTATAAAAATACACAAATATTTCAAAAATTTATCAAGATAAAGTATATATTTTAAAAAGTAAAGCAATTATAGTTCGGGAATAATAATTTTGATAGATGATAAAATAATAATAATCCTAACAATGTCCAAAGAATTCTATTGGGCATGCTTCATTCTAAGTCCAAAAATTACTCCAAAATAACCTAAATAATTCGGGTATGTATTTTAAACTATATCTATTCAAGAATAATATTGATGCATTTAATGTAACACATAAGTCCGAAATAAAAAAAAATAAAAAGGTTTGAATAATCATGCATGTTGTTTAACCTAAAATTAAATCTTATTTAGGCATGCATATTAAACTTATACACATAAAATATAGTCATGCCTATTAAACATATAAACTAAATCATGTTATTTTGAGAATATAAAACATGTAGTAAACTAAATTATATTAAACATGTATACCAACTAAAGAAAATTATAAACTAAATCATATTTCGAAATTTAATATTGAACATGTATTTCGAAAATTAAAGAACTATTATAAACTAAAGCATATTTCGAAATCATATTACTACACAAAATAAGTATACAAAAGTAAAGAATCATGCATAAATCAAATTGAGCATATAAAATAAATCATATTACACATGTATTAATACACAAAACCAAAAATTAAAATACATAAAACAAATTGAACAATGAGAAAAATCAATTTAATAAACAAATAGTTAGTCATATTTTTTAAAAAATAAAAAATGAATCACTTTTTATATATCGTTAAGCTACAAGTAATATTTGAGTCTTTTTTTCAAATTAAATAAACAAACAAAAAGGGATACTTAGGTGACCGACTCTAGGCTGTTAGATTATTGGACTTATACTATATGTAATATTCACAATATATTATTATTGGATCTAATTGTATGTTATATGTTATCTTATATTTAGGCCCAAAAATTAGTGGTCCTATGGATATTAATTTAAATGAACTAATATGTTATCTAATAAGGTATAGGGCCCAAATGTGTAGAGACTCATGAGTTTAACTAATTAATTCAAATGGTTAGGGATGGACCCGGGCTGGTCCGGATCCGGTTCCGGGTCGGGCCCGGGCGGGCTTTTTTGGCAAATCCTTGGGCCCGGAACCGGCCTGGGTTGATACCGGCTCCGGGCCTAACCGGGTCGGGCCGGGCCGGGCACGGTTCAATGTATATATATTTTTTTGCTTTCTTGTTATCCCCCGACCCCCCCCCCCCTCACCCCCACCCCCCAAACCTTCCCAAAACACCCAGCCCTACCCTATGAAAAGAAAAAAAATTGAAGAAAAAAAAATTGACTTGGGCCCGGGCCGAACCGCCAAGGCCGATTCGCCCAAACCTGGGCCCGAGCCCGGCCCGCCCAAACGGACTAAAAGCCCGGAACCGGCCAACCGGTCCCGGTCCGGTCCGGGCCCGCACAGTAGCTGGCCGGACCGATTCCGGACCGGGCCGGGCCGGTTTAGTCCATCCCTGATTAGGGTTAAGCATTCTCTATAAATAGAGGGGTTATGGTCTCTAGTTGAACACAATATTTCGTCTTTCTGCATCCCATCGCTAGAGAGATAATCCCGAGGGTGTGTATCAACTAGAAGACGCAAATCCTAACCTCCATCTCCCGGATCTCTAAAGATCATCTTCAATGGAGTCAGGCACGCTTCCGTTTAGGGATGGACCCGGGCCGGTCCGGTTCCAGACCAGGCCCGGGCGGGCTTTTTTTGCAAATCCTTGGGCCCAGAACCGGCCCGGGTTGATACCGGGTCCGAACCCGGTTCAATGTATATTTATTTATTTTTTGCTTTCTTGTTATCCCTCGACCTCCCCCCCCCCCCCACCCCCACCCCCCCCCCCCCCCCCCTCACCCTAGGAAAAGAAAAAAAATTGAAGAAAAAAAAAATTGACCCGGGCCGGTTCGCCCAAAACTGGACCCGAGTCCGACCCGCCCGACCAGCCCAAACGGGCTAAAAGCCCGGAACCGCACAGTAGCAGGTCGGGTCGGGCCGGTTTAGTCCATCCCTACTTCCGTTCAGTTATTTCTCTAGATAATTCCAATATGAAGATTAAAGTATTCATGGATTTATTCAACATATGCTCGGAACCCGCCTAGGCGGACTAGTCACTTGCCCGACAAACACATAATGCCTTTGAGATCATTGATTGGAATTTGGATCTAGCGATTTTTCATCTTTTGAAGAAGTAAACCACAACAATTCTCATTCCCTCAAAAAAAATACATAAAGCAATGTTTTGGATCGTTAACAATGTTTGAAGGATCCTAAGAAACGTATAAGGTTACAGAGTTATGTTAGGGTTGAGGTTTTTTATCAGCCTATCGAGTATGTAGATTCTCTTCCTTTCCTACAAAAAATATACTCTCTCCGTTCTTTTTTAGTTGCAACATTCATTTTTCACGCTTGCCAATGCACAACTTTAACCATCATTATATTTAATTCTATATTAGTAAAAAACTTTTAAAAATCAGATTATGAAACTTCGTAATGAGACAAATTCAACAATATTTTTCAAAAAAAAATAATTCACATACATTAATAAATAAAATGTAGTCAAAGTAGAGTACATGAATAATGTGTAAATTCCAATGTTGCAACTATTATGATACGGAGGATAGTACATAGTAGTATATCAAATATTCTGCTTCAATGTTGTGAGTTGAACGGCGGTTCATATATGGTTGGACTCGGGTCGGGCCACCTGACCCGTGGACCGGCCCAGTCCGCTACTGTGCGGGACCGGGTCCGGCCCAGTTCTCGGGTCAGGGTCCGGGCCGGGCCTAGGCCCGGGGGTAGGGCGGGTCCGGGCTCGGGTCTCAAATTTGGTGAACCGGCCCGGCCGGGTCAGGCCCGGGCCAAATTGAATTTTTTTTATTTTTTTTTTTCATTTTTGGGGTTCCACCCGGGTTGGGCTTGACGGGTAGGATGGGTTTGGGGGGGTTTGGGAGGGTGGGGGAGGGTGGTTAGGAAAGCAAAAAAAAACCACACCGGAGGTCCGGCCCTTCCCGGCCCGGACCGGATGTGGTGGCTACCCGGGCCGGTCCCAGGTCCACCATTCCTGAACCGCCGGCCCGCCCGGGCCTAGGCCCGACCCAGACCCGGCCCGGACCCGAGTCCACCCTAGCCGTTCATATAGTCTTTTGTGCTCTAACAGTCTAACTCTCCTTCTTTATCTCCAAAGTTTATATTACTTTATTTTTCCTATTATCTAAGGAAATTAGAAGTATACTTCCATATATAAAGTAAATAAGTGAAAGCCTCGTATGAAGAAGATGACCAAAACAAAACTTGTATATTAACCAACTCGAACGTAAAGAGTACCACAAGTATTTATAAGCTTAAAATTTGAAAGTCCTTATCTATCCCACAATTGGATATCCGGAGTATTACATGCACACACATATGTAAGCTGTAAGCATATATATAGACACGGTGAGAATACTAAAATCCATGTTACACGCATCTGACGAAATTCTCATCAAACGCACTACGTTTTTTTAATCAAAATAGAATAGAATTCAACAGTAAAGAATTTCCATGAAAATGTTGAAAATTAATTTAACCAAACACAGACCATTTTCTTACATTTACACTATCGAAATGTCATGACTAATTCATCAATAGAAATTACGTTTATCTTCAATAAATTGAACTTCAGCATGATCTAAAAAAACTAATGCTAATGAGCATACACACAAGGAGTCCAGGTCTCCAGGACCATTGCCCATTGGATTATATTTAGCCAAAACCATAGTGCGGCTGGGAGAAATCCCCATTAGCCTGCTACGAATTTCATAGTATATGCAGAGTATATCTTTTGTCGACGCATCATTTTGAGGTTGTAAAGGTTGTGTTTGTAATGTCTTGTTATGGATTATTACTGATGTACTAGGTATTACTTTGACAAAAATAAATTGAAAGGGGAAGAGAACTCTGAACTTAACGTGATAATTAAATAAGAGTGTAGAGCTTGTACTTTCGTCCAAAAAAGAAGGTGCAAGAAGGCCAAGAAACAGATCTTATCAAGTGTGGCAATCAAACCAGAAAACGCAATGTCCTTTTCGACAGTTTTGGCTTACATTTTGAGGTCTGTACTCCAGGTGCCTTGAACGCTTGGGTGTTTTGTGACATGTCTGGTCTTCATCTTCACCACCTTTCTCCCTAGTGAATTCCTTAGCCTTGTTGCTTGTAACAGAACCTCCTCTGGCGTCAAGTTTTTGACACAGACGACACGCTCGTTCTTGTTTTCTGGTCATCAAAGAAAACAGTCTGAGTTTGGCCCAAACACAAGATTTAGTGGTTTTGCTTTATATTTTATAAACTCTAGCAGAGTGCAAGTGAGAACTATAGATCCCCAATGTAACCAACTCAATAAGAACATAATAACTGTGCTATGTAAGACTAAAAAACAGCTCAAATGGAACAACTGTTTAAGAACATAATTGAAAACGATTAGAAGTCATTTAATCCTTTAAAAATCTTACTGTAGTAAATATAGGAGTATATGATCTGTGTTTTAGCCCTGTTAAGGCGTTTTCCACAGATAGATAGCGGGACTTAGGTGTATCAAGTCCTTCCATTTATCTAATCGTTATAAGTTAACAAGTAGTATACCTGTGCGTTGCACTGGACAATAATATATCTGTGTTTATGTTATTTAGTTATTTAAATATGTTATTTAGAATGGAAGTAGTTTAAATAAAAGTGAAAATGTACATAATTTACTAATAATTAACAAAATTATTTTAAATACTAACTTGTAGATTTGTCTAACATAATTTGTAATTACTTGGCTATAATAATCCAATTAATTTCAAACTAATAATTTATAAACACTTTATTTATATTAGTTTATTAGTTATTACATGATCTATTTTATGAATTAACAAAAATTTTAAATCCAAGAAAATAAAAATATGCATCATAACCAAATCGGATTGGAACATCAATCACCGGAAATGTGCAGTTACTGTTCTGACTCCCCTGAACTTGAGATCATGAATCAGTTATTTATTTAAGATCGTGATTATATAAATAATCAGTTACTGTTCCGTATATTAAATACTAAATTTTCAAAAAGTAAGTAGATAAATAAATACTACATATAGAAATAAATAAATGAATTAATACTAATGAACTTGAATAGGATTGCTTGTTCAGGAACTTATAATAAACGTATGTATATCTCGAAAATGAGACTTTTATTCATGTCTTTAATCAATTTTTTGTTTTAAGGAATTGATGCATGATATATTTTCTTGTCTTAATCTCAATATATATAAATATCTATATCTATACATAACAGTACATTTGCCATTGATTTATATACGTAAAGTTTTTTGTTTTAAGGAACTTACGCATGATTTATTTTCTTATCTTAATCTGTAAACCATCAATATATATATATATATATATATATAACAGTACCTTTTCCATTGATTTATATACATGAAGTACTTTTGTTATAAATATTTAACGTGGTTTTTAAATGCATCGACTATCAATTGGGTGTAATACATTTTATCCGAATTACTACTAATGTATTCCTATGATAGGGATCCGGACACTAGTAATAATAAGAGTCTTATTAAGTACATAGTATTTTAAGAATGGAGCAACGTGTGTAAAACCTAGAACACACCTTAGCGGAAGGGAAAACTGCCGTGAACTAACTGCTTGGCTTGCGCGAGACGGAGGCCGAACTGAAGAATCTGATGTTACACGGTGATCACCATAGTTGAAGAGGACGGTCGCGGGTGTCTAAACATCATCGTTGGGAGGAAAGTGTGAACTCGTCGCCTACCAGAGGTGACATTCTAACAGTTCTCACGCTTCGTCGTTTAGTGCGGAACCTAAGGTAAATAAGTGTTATGCTCATACTGGAAGGAAAGTTGACTTACCTGTTTTTAACGGGGAAGATGCACATGGGTGGATATTTAGGGTGGAAAGGTTTTTCCGGTTGAGTCTAGTTAAAGAGAGAGAAAATTGAGATGGTGGTAGTGGCAATGGAGGAGAAACCTTTAAACTGGTTCCAATGGTGGGAGGAACAGAACAATGAACGTTCGTGAGAAAATTTTAAGGAAGTTGTGATTCGATGGTTCCAATCAGGGATGGTGCAAAATCCCTTTGGTCCTATTCTTAGCGTGAAGCAGATAGGATCAGTCATGGATTATCAGGATGAATTTGAGCTGGTCATAGCCCCCCTCCAAAGCATTGAAAATGAAATGCTTAAAGACATTTTTATTAATGGCCTAAAGGAGGAGATCAAAGCAGAACTCAAACTGTATCCTGCACAGAGTTTGACCGAACTGATGGACTGTGTGTGCTCTATTACTGGAAGAAAAGAATGTGGCTCTGAGAATAAGAGGAAGCAAGGATGGAGATAAGGGAGTATGCAAATGGGGGGGGGGGCTGTATCGAAGCCTCAACAGTGGATAGAAGGGAACTGGTGGAGACATGACCGCAATAATACCAGCCTCACTGACAAGGTTTTGGCTGATATTAAAACAAAGGAATCACTAAAATTGAACCAAACATGGGAGGGAGGAGAGAAAAACCTAGACAGACGTGGATTAGAGTGGTCTATGGTACTTGTTGGGTTAGATGAAAGTATGACTTTGGAAAGAGTGAAGTGGGGGAGAGCACAATTGTCACGGAGGCTAGGCGAGGCATCAGCTGACTGTCTTATTTCCTAGGTGTCTAAGGGCCCGTTTGGGTTAGATGAAAGTATGACTTCAGAAAGAGTGAAGTGAGGTAGAGAATAGTTGTCACGGAGGCTAGGCGAGGCATCAGCTGACTGTCTTATTTCCTAGGTGTCTAAGGGCCCGTCTGGCCGTCTGGGCGGCAAGTCACTTCATATGTAGTATTATTATACTCCGTAATATATTTACATATATATTGAAATAATATATTAGACATTACATAAAATAAAAAGAATAAAAATAAGAAACAAAGTAAAAGGAGAAACTAGACGAACATATATCTGATTATAATTATTTATCCAGAACAAATGTTCAATATAAGTTTCTAAAGAAGTAATAGTCTGTAAAATAATGCAAGTGTACCAAGTGTTTAATCAAAAGGATTGAAAGATATGTTAGATCGATTCCAGCATAAAAATTGTACAGTAAGAAACATGTATTACATAGGCTAATGATTAAAAGATAAAATCCAACCAAATAAAACTGGAATAAAGAAAAAAAAGAGGGGACCTTAAAAATTGGAACGAGTGAGAGAAAATGGAGGCAGACCAGTTGCGACCTACGATGTCGACCTGGCCGACGGGTTGAAGGGCCTAGGTTTCTGTCTGATGGCTTGATATTTAATACTACATATCTTCAAAATCTAATATGCCAGGTCAGGTGGGTGATAACCTAATCAGCGCCTCGTTACAACTTGGCAGCTTCATGAGAGTCGGTGGAGCATGGTGTCACTTCTCCACTGCCAGGATGACTAGGCAACGCCATAACAACTATGGGGGAGAAACATGAGGAGAATTGATCTGATTTTGTTTGTCTCCCTTTTCTCTATTTATTATTTTTAACTCCGATTTTATGTCAATTCATGTTAGCCAAACCCAACTCTTTTGATATTAAGGCTTGAATGTTGCTATTGTTAAGTTGTTATGTGTTAATAATTTCTTATTGACCTAAAGTTATGTCTCAACCAGCATAACATGTTGTTAAGTCTTGCTTCTGATATACCAATTTGAAACCAACATAAAAGATGATGCATGTTAGCCATGAAGGGGTGGGTTAAGGGATGGCAATTCTTACTGTATAATCCCTTCAAGTATGGATGTTGACCACGATTCATCTCAGTCACCACTTCCAAATGAGGATTGATATCCCTGAACGCTGGCAAATGAGACTCCATAAATGCCCTGATACATTGGAATACTTGCAATTAAACTTCTCAATACGGATCAAAAGTTGACATGAAAAGTTCAGTGCACAATAAAATAGAGTGAATAGTACTTCAATGCAAAAAAAGAAGAGTTGCACCCTACACAATGCACATTTTTAACTTAAACCAACCTTAAGCCCCTGCTACTGCCTCCCCAATCAGAATAGCTTACTACCAGCTTCTGAAGTTGCCAAGCACCTCTTAGTGCCATCTGATAGTTAACTTTTAACAGTATAAAGCAAAATCAGTTTAGCATGGTGATGTTCACTACCATACTAAACACCAACGAAGTTGCACGAACTATTCAATTCAAGCAAGATATGAAGGTACAGTGCAAAAAGAAAAAAAGAATATTCCACACGCTTTCAGGTGGTTTTCATACTGCCAGGGGCGAATCTATCTTAGGCATTCAATGGGGCCAAAATTTAGTTAAGTAACGTATATTGCAACAAAATAATGTCAAGATGTATTTAATAATGTCTATTTAACAAAATTTATTTTTGAGGTATACAATAACATCTATTGCAAGTTGCAACGAAATATCAAAGACGTTCACGGTGGGATTACTAGTTACTAACTTACTACACAAATACTAACTAACTAAGTAATTATATTAATAATAACAAATCACAATCAAATTCAAAGTACAATAAATGATGTTCACAAATGACAAATTAGAACTTACAAATGACAAATCATATTTATAATAACTGTTAAAACTTGCCGGTGCCCGACTGAAATAGGCAAATGACTCAAATCCAAACTTGTTAAAAGCGGTAAAAAGCGTCTAAAAGCGACAAAGCACAGGCGAGCGCTAAACCTGCGTCTGGCTTTTGAGAAGCGCCGCGCCATGAGAGCGAAGCTTTTCCGGCACTTTTGCTTGAGCTCGGTTAATGAAAAGCGATCGCTTTTCATTGATTCTCACAAAAAGTGGTAAATTGACCAGTCAATTTTAAAAAAAAAATGGTCTTCTCGTCTCGATGCTACAAGTTAGGGTTATCACGTAAGAGTCTTTCGACTCTTTCCCACTCCACACATAGCCGCACTCCAGACATAGCTGAAGAAATCGCATGTGAAGAGGAGTTCTCCCAGGTGACCGTTGTTTCCAAGTCACGACTCGTAGGTGAAGAAGAGTTCTCCCGGACTTTCTCGCCGCTGCTGCGCAGGTTCTATTTCATCATCGTTCTTCAATTTTATAGTTTACTCTGATTGTAGTTGGAGCCCTGACTTCCGCAATGATAGCGATACAGATGTACTTAATAAAGAAGATAAATACTATGGCCGAGTATATTGTAGAAGGAATAAATCAATAAATAGACTAATTAGTTCATAGTTAAATTCTGTTGTTAGCTATTAAGTACTTACGGTTAAGCTAGATGGCTATAAATAGAATAAGTCTGGGAGAGGTGAGTAGGATGTTAGACTGTGGTAGTCTGGACTGGAAAAGATTGAGATTCATTGTCTCTCTTTTGGGGCTTCGGCCATAGTTGCTTGTTACATTCAATAAAGTTCTGGATATTTCTTCTATATTGTTTCTGTATTTTTTCTGTGGAATAGTTGTCTTCTATAAGTGGTATCAGAGCACGACGATCTCTGGATGAGATGTACCCGAGCGAAGATGGACGGACGAATGACGGAAGTGGAGAGAAGCTTGAGAGAAACTGCAGGAAGGCAAGATACGATGGAGACGATGATGGTCGCAATGCAAGTGAGTCTCGCTGATATTCAGAATCGATTTCCAAGTCGTGCGCGAAGTAGGTCGCAGGCCTCCTCAGCTTCGCGTCGCACTTCTCACCATCAGGCATCAGCGATCACGAAATTCAGAGAATGATGATGAATCGGAGGGAGACTCGGATCATTCACCACACCGTAATCACCGACATCACAGGGAACACAATGCACGTCACAGAACAAGAAGGAAGATCGATTTGCCATTGTTTAATGGAGATGATGCTTACGGTTGGTTGGTCAGAATCAACAGATATTTTCGTCTTAATCATATTGAGGAAGACGAGAAGGTAGATGTGGCGGTAGTTGCTATGGAAGACCGTACACTGAGTTGGTTTCAGTGGTGGGAGAACCAGACGAGAGAGAGGAATTGGGACGCCATGAAGGAAGCTCTAACTCGAAGATTTCAACCAGAGTTGGTACGTAATCCTTTGGGACCTCTATTAGATCTGAAGCAAAAGGGAACTGTGAAGGAGTTCCGAGAACAATTTGAGATGGCTATAGCATCACAGGGCGATCTAAGTGAGAAGGTCACAAGAGGCATTTTCTTAAATGGCTTGAAGAAGGACATTAGAGCTGAATTGAAGCTTTACAACACCAGAGAATTGGCTGAAATCATGGACACAGCTCTATTGATTGAGAATAAGAATTTTGAAGTGATGTCCAGGAGAAATTAGGAAGAAGGGAAGAATGTTTGGAAGAGCAGCATCTCTGGAAAACAAGGTTACAATCATTGGGGAGATGGCAGTAGAAAAACCTACAACCAAGCATCTATCAATCCATCAATGAAGGACTCAGTTGATAACAGAAGGCAAGAGGATGGATCTAATTCTATTTCCATGAAGTTAGGCCCTAGATTGACACAGAATTAGTTGTTGGAATGGAGTAAGAAGGGACTTTGTTTCAAATGTGGAGATAAATGAAAAAGAGACCACATTTGCAAAATGAAAAATTTCAAAATGATGTTGGTTGAACAATCTGAAGGTGAGTCAGATACTGCCTCTGGTGATACTGAAGAAGGAGAAGGAGTTCATGAGGAACCCAAGACTATGCAGTTGTCTGTACTCAGTAAAGAAGGAATATCCTCCATGAGAACATTCAAGGTAAAAGGGAGTTTGATGTGGCCAGATCATGAACAACAGGTGAATATTTTGATTGATAGTGGTGTTACCCACAACTTTATATCCCAGCAACTTGTAGATAAATGGAAGATACCTTCCCACTGTATCAAGGGATATAAAGTACAAATAGGGAAATGGAGCTTTGATTCCCAACTTTGACAGGTGTGAAGGGATGAAATTAAATGTGCAAGGGAATGAAATTCAACAAGATTTTTATATAATGGAGTTAGGAGGAACTGACTTGGTGTTGGGAATGGAGTGGTTAACTGATTTGGGGGATATGGAAATTATTTTCCAAAATCAGATTATGAAGTGGAGGAAACAAGGGCTGAATCAGACTATTAAGGGAGATGCAACATTGAATAACATGGAAGTCTCTTTTAAAACTATGACTCACATATTACAACATATGAAAGTCAAGGTACTGAAGGGCAGAAACAGACACATAAAGGGAAGTGGAATGAAGTGATGGAAGAATATCCTGAGGTGTTCAAAGCAAGCTTGGATATGCCACCTGTCAGGCCTTGTGAGTTGTGACCATGCTATCAATATCAAGGAAGGGGCCAGTATACCAAACCTCAGACCTAGGATAAATCTCCAAAGCAAGATGCAGGAATTATTGGAATGGAGAGAAATTTCAAGGGTGAAAGAAGTGAAGATGAATGGTCAAGTAATGAAGCTGATGGGTGCATTATGCAAAGGAAGAAACCCTAGTCCTAAAGTTGACAACAAGGGGTGTGTGGATGAAGTTATGTATGAGCTATTCAGTGAGAAGTTTCATTCAAAAAATAGGATGAAGTCTGAGGGACATGCTATGCTGTGGTTGGTCAAGAGTTGTTCATCTAGAGGACTAGAAATATGGGAACTTCTGATACCACCATCAGCGATGTACTGGGAAGGAAGAGGCACCAGGAGGAAGCTGAGTTCCTGGCTTGGTTGATATCTTCCCACCTTGAGGGCAAGGTGGATGTTTAAGGGGGGAAGTATTGATAGGGATACAGCTGTACTTAATAAAGAAGATAAATACTATGGCCGAGTATATTGTAGAAGGAATAAATCAATAAATAGACTAATTAGTTCATAGTTAAATTCTGTTGTTAGCTATTAACTACTTGTTAAGCTAGATGGCTATAAATAGAATAAGTCTGGGAGAGGTGAGTAGGCTGTTACTGTGGTAGTCTGGACTGGGAAAGATTGAGATTCATTGTCTCTCTCTTTTGGGGCTTCGGCCACAGTTAGGCATCCAGAACAACACACAATATAACATTGACATTGAAAGTGAGAGTTGCATGGGTCTTTGAGGTTTGACTGTATTTCAGGAGAGGGGATACACTACAATTATTTGGCATGATGAAAAGATATGTGGAGTGCTTAAAACTTTTTCTGAAAATTATGCGAATAAGATTTCATGTAATTTTAGGAGTTCATCTTTGGTTAACAATCACAGATATTGGCAGGAGGGTGAGACCTTAGAAGTAGTATCCAATGATGAAGAGGTAAATCATATGATTTAAACGCTTACAAAAAAATATGCCAATAGAAATTCATTTTTGTTTAGTAGTGTTTATCTCAGGTTTTCTATTCTTTCTAACAGTTTGATAAACACGGATATCATTGGCAAAATTCTGGGAAAACGTGTTTCTCAAACACCGAGAAACAATGCCAACAACAAAAGGTAACCTGAAAGGTAAAATTAAGTGTGTTTTGGTATATAGTTGTATACTATGTATATCATTAGGGTTTCAAAACAAATATTTTGAGTGTAGCAGATCAACAACCATACTTGAATGTCCAAACATTAATAATAAACACATTAAGGTACATAGGACATGTTGTTTTAAAGTCAGAAAAGGCATGCTTTGAAAAACAGATTTATTTTTTACCAAAAAGAAAGAAAAACAGACTCAGTTAACCTTTAGATTGCTTATTACAAGAAATTGAAAGACTTAGTTTAAACATTGAACCGTGGACAATTTATTTTGTAAACAATCTGCCTTTGATTGTAGTTAAAAGCAAAAAGTATGACTTAAAAGTTTAGGGGATGAAGATCATACCTGAGAATTTGAGCATGCAATAGAAAAATACCTGCAATCCCTAATCTTAACTAATTAATAATTACATTTCATTTATGAATAATACACATTTGGGTACCTTACTCAGGTCCAAATATAATCAATCCTTTTGGATTAGACTTGCAACATAAGAGATAATATCACGTTAAAACTTAAAATGCATCTCATAATTATATTTTGTGTCTAAAGACCCTTTTGTATCTTCAAATAAAGTACGTTGGAATAGGTAATTATGCTACAGTTTTAATTTGCTTTTACAGAAAATTTTACAGAAACATATAAATCACCCTTTAAAAAAGATACAAAGTTATAATTTTTAAAAAGATCAGACAACACTGTTCTAATCACATGCAGATCATCATTTACACTTTTAGCTACATCACCATATAAATCCATTGATTTAAAAATATATTTATTGATATGATTCATATTTTACAAATATAACATATATTTACATAATACTGTTCAAAGTTTATTGAAGATTATTATTTAGTTAACATTTATTATATTTCAAACATGGTCTCACAATTATATTTTGAGTCTAAAGACCCTTTGAAAATAAAGTATGTTTGAATAGGTATTACATGTTACGGTGTTTAATCTCATAAATTTCCATATGAGATCAAATTTTAGTATGAAACTTTACATAAAAGTGATCGTTCGAGATGCAATTGATATCTTTAGGCGGCATTTAAAACAATCCAGCCCCAACGTATTAATTCAATTAGGATTTTCAAATTTGGGAATAGTATGAAAAATAGACACTTCATACTAGGGGTCTATGGTATTTTATATATAAAACATAATAAACTTATTATAGCATTTGATCCATCATAAGTTCAAAAAAATGATCCATCATAAAAATGTTAATATTTATGTACTTACAAAATAGGTTCAAATGAATTTAAATTGAGCATAGAAGTAAAATCAGATGGTATAAATATCAAAGATAAAATCCTTAAAGAGTGATTTGGTTTGTTAATTCTTAAGAAGTTATAAAAATGTTGTAAAAAAGTGATTTGTTTGTTGATTCCTATAAATTCCATTTTCTAATGAATTGCATTTGAACAAAACTGAATCTTTCAAAAAAAATCAGAATTTAGGCTTCGGAAATATTATTTCAAATATTGAAGCACTTCAATTTAAAATGAAGAAATTAGTCTCAAGAAAACATGATTAATCAGTTTTAAAAAAAGAGGTATTGATGTCATAGTTAAATTGTTTTCATAGAAAGTGTGCATGTATTCAAACCATTTAAATAAAATACACATTATATCATACGATAGTACAATATGTAGGTACTACCGAACTGAACTTTAACATACGAGGGTAAGTGAACATTGATATTCAGAGCAGTTCAAATTTGTAGTATATATACATACAACTTAATCAGTTAGGCCTCCAGAGCAACATAGCTTCGTTTTCAACTTGTATTATTTTAAGTAAAAACTCTTGGTATAGAAACTTTTGAATGTCAAACTTTTAAAAATTTAAATGTCAATTGGTCATTTAAATGTCAATTTACAAACTTTTGGACAGTTCAATTTACTGCTTTTTTTCTTAAATAAACTGTTTTAGTGACCTTTTAAAATATATATTTACTAACAAAAATTATGGATGAAGTATGTTTTAAATTAATCCGTTTGAAATATGTGTAATAGTTATATATTTCACGCTTCACAGACCAATTTAACTGATTAAAAAATCTGCATAGATGTATCCAAAATACAATGTCATGTTTTATCTAGGATTTAAACGAAGACATCCTATATCACAAAATCTATAGCGGCTAGGTTAAATCCAGAATTTCACAATTGATGGCATTTAAAAACACAAATATGTATACATCATTTTCACAGATTGGCATAGGTTTAGCCATGTAAATGAATCTACGAAAGAGGTATTTTGTTGCTATAAAATACAGATACAATATAAATCTGTGAAACATGCAATTTATGGCCAAATCATATGCAACTATACATGTAAATAATCACAATAACGAGTGTATGCATGGACAAACTGATAAAGAAATTCAATTACCTAACCGTTCAAGAAAAACACAATAAGACGACGAGGATGCAGGGGATAAACCAAAATCACGAAACGATGGTAGACCTGGTTTGAGATTCTTTGGTTTTACCTCAGCCGGAATAATCAAACATCTGTCGATACCACACGGACGATGGTCAGCGGAAGAGCACACGCTGGTTTGAGATGTACGGATGAATGAGGCGGCGGAAGGAGGGAGTAGAGTTTAGATAGGTCTGAAATTAAAAAACTTATTTTACATCTCAAGCTTATAGAATTTTTAAAGTGGATTTGTAAGGATTTTTGTTTCCATATCAATATGCAATCAAAAATAAAATCTAATAAAAAAACAAAAGGTAAAAAAATAAGTAAATAATTGTTATATATAATGACATGGTAGGATTATGTGTAGTTTTGTATGTTCTTCAAAAGTTCCTCTTTTATATATATACATTGATTGATTTGTACTCTGTTTTTTCCTAATCTTTGTACTTTCAAACCTTCTCTTAATATAATCTTGTTAAATGTTCCCCAACATTTATCACACCTATTTTTAGGTGGTTCTCGAGATAAAAAAAGGGTTGTGTATGTAGCAGATTGAATAGAAGTCTGATTAGGTTATTAAAAAACATTTATTCGATGAGATGGTGTCGTGCATTATAGGTTATTAAAAAACATTTATTCGATGAGATGGTGTCGTGCAGTATAGGGATTTTGTTCTTACATTTATCATATAACTCTGGTACCACCTGACGCAGTCGGAATCACGAAGGATTAGCAAACGCTAATCCAAGAACGGTAGATACGTTTGCCAGCAGCAAACTTGTGCGAAGAACACTGGAATCCACCAGAAAACTCTTGATTTTATTATGAGTAAAAGATGCTTGGTTACTGCCTTACAGGAAAGTTTAAATACTTCAGGAAAATCTAGTGCAAAAATTATCCAAAGCAAAATCAAAACAAATATAATTGAAAATATTAAAAAGCTACTATCAGGCCTTAGATGAACACAAAAGCCAATTTCAGCCCATATCTTGCAGCCAAAACAGTAGCATGTGATCCCTAACAGATTCCCTTATCAAAAACATATAATAATGCAGTATTGGGCTGGGTTGATTTAAAGTTTATTAAAATATTGGTATTTTAATTTCAGATCTGAATTGCACTTTGTCAAATATATTTAATACTATGTATTTAATTAGGATTATAGTTATATTGTTCGATTATAATTTTTTTACTATTATTATGATTATTATTGTTATCTTTCTATGATTGTATTATTTTATTGGGTTTTTTTTATTTCTACTGAAATTTTATGGTTCGAGCTGACTTGGTGTAGTAAATGTATAGTCTATGTGTATTCTACAACTATTGAAGTCAGGTTTGAACTGATCTCCTATGGATTGAGACTGAAATAAGTCCAAGTAAAAATAGTATAATGTTTCTGATTATTAATGTTATGATTATTATTGTTGTTGTTATAATTATAATATTATTGTGATTAATATTTTGGTTGAATATTATTAGGATTGATGGAGTATTAACTCCCAGAGAGAAGTGAGAGCTAGAGAGAGAAGTGCAATAACTCTTGTATTAAATGAAATTGTGAACCCTTACAACTACCTCGAGTAGGGGTATTCATAGGGAAAATATGGGCAAGCCTTGGGTTTGGGAGACTCATTACAATATGGGGCCTCTAATGGGCTTGTTACACTTGTACATAATGATTAAGTAAAGGAATCTGGCTCTGTGGTCTTCCCGTGGCCAACGAAGGTCCCGGCCGACGAAGCCCCTGGCCGACGGAGCCCCGGCCGAAGAGGCCACCCGGGTCTCCTGGGCCCTGGAGCACATTATGGGATGAGGTGTATTTCAGCCGATGAAGACACCTAGCCGATGAGGGCCCCATTGAGTGTCAGTGGCGCTTGTCTGAGTATGTGGGTCACGGGGCCTGGACCCATATACTCCATCAGGAGTCCCCCACTCTCTTTGCTGAGATGTAGACGAGGTGAAGGAGAGTAGGTTTTTGCTGCAGACACTTCTGGCCGTTGTTGGGCCACCTGCCTTGTGTTGTGTGTTCCTCATTTTCATGAGACCATTGTTGGCGCTTACTTTGGAGACGTTGCTTGCCACGTGGACGAAGGGTGTCCCATGTGTTGAGGACGATGAGAGCGCTTTGTTGTTTGGCAGTTGCGGCCGTGGATGACTCGTGGTATTTGTACTGTCTTTTCGGCCGATGCGTGCTTCGGACGATAGGTGTACTTGGCTTGGGCCGTTGCGTACCCTTGATTTTTTTTTGGACGGCGTGATTTCCCTTATTGAGGACGTTATAGTGTCCTTAGCTCTTTGCTTTCTGCTGGTACGGCGATGGGTTCCTTGGTGCTTCCGTTAATGGCTCTGGATGAGGGAGGATCGCAACGTTTTGGGGATGTTGTGGTGCCCATGTTGTTAGTCTCTGTTCCTTTGAATCTTTCAAGATTTGTAGTTTTGTTGTTGAATCTTGTGGAGGTCGATGCAGCCCCCCATTCCCCCACTCCTTCACGCCGTAAAGTACGCCAGGTGTGGAGGAGTATGAATGGCTGATAGGCCGAAGCGGAACCTACGCCTTCCTCATGAATCCAACCTCTTGGCAATTTTCTGTCAAGGTAACCCTATGGGAGAACCCTTGTACGAAGGATTTAGCCTAGAGGCCATCATCTATGGGTTTTGTACAAAGGGTCGCTTGGCCGTGAAGTCATACCTTGGTTGGAGTTGCGGCGGTAGTCATGCATTTTCTTTGTGATGGCCGTTGAATATTACGGCCGAAGCGAGTGTGGTTTTTTTATTGTGGACCGTTGATGGCCTTAGGTAATGGGCCTGGCCCAATTACTGGAGCGGTGGCATCCATTGGCTCATGGGATGGTGGCCGCTGGTGTGGCCGCTGGTGTGGCCAATGACTGGATGCCACGTGTAGTGACCGTTGGGTTGGGGTTTATAAATACCCCTTGCCTTTTGATGAGAGGAGCTCATTTGCATTCTGAGATATCGAAGTGTTGCCCAATTTTATAGAGAGATAAAGTCGTTCGAGTGTTCTTCGTTCCTTCAAATCTTCAAGGTCAGTTCTTGATTTGTTCTTCCTTGTTCATTCATATCTTGCTTCCTTGGATCTTTGATCAAGTGTTAGTCAGGGGATACACTTAGATCTTTATTAGCTTGCCTTAGGATTCTGAAAAGTGTAATGGCTGGCGTGTTTGACGAGAAGTACTACACGTATGATGACGAGGGCCTTCCTACCACATCTCCTGGTCTTAACATCAGGATAGTTCAACAGTGTGCCGAAGAGATAGACGACATGAGCTCCTATAGGACGTGGGAGCAGGATCTGGATGTGGAAGAAAGTGAGGATGGTGCGGCGACGTCTACGTCGGGAGAAGCCGTTGACACGTCGCACGGGGCTTCTACGTCGGCTGCCACATCGTGCCCTCATCCTGTATCTGCCGCTAAAGGACAAGGTTTTGTGGCGCCTCAGAAACCCACGAGAAGATGACGACCCAAAAAGGCCCAGGGGTTTCTTTCTTGGATTTGAGTAACGTTTACATCATCCGGCCAACAAGCTCTCCTGGTGACTATGTCATTGCCCAAATGTGAATCGGGCCTTATGGGTGTGTTAGGGCTCCTAGGCCGACGGACCACATGTTGAACCCTCCCCCTAGGTATTTTGGTGTTTATCCCATGAGTTTCGCCAAGGGGCTCAGGTTCCCCCTTTACCCCTTCATGAAAGAGTACTTAGACATGGTGGGGCTTCCTCCGACTCTGTTGACCCCAAACAGCTACTCCCTCATCTTCAGGTTCTTGCTACGGTGTACGAAGTTGAGTATTGTACCTACGACGGCCCTGTTCATGAACTTGTATCAAATTGGCCGAGGGAGCCATCAGAACTGTGCTGGGTACGCCAACTTGCAGCAAATCCAAAACAAGAGGTCTTTCAAGGATCTGTCGTCATCGATCCATGGTTGGAAATCCAAGTTTGTTTTTGTGTCGCTGGGGCGAAGGTGGTGTGGAGTTCCCTTCCCTCGGCCATACCGATATTTTTAACTTGCATGATGCGCTGAAGAGTGCTTTTATCGACTGCCACGTGGAGGAGTTCTTGAAGGGTGGGCCGAGGAGTGTGAAGGACTGCATCACGGAATATGAGATGACGACTCTCGGCTTTGTGAGGTATTTCGTCTATGGGGACGAGGATATAGGCATGTGGCCGAAGATGACGACGTCTTTTGAGGAGGCCGACGGTCCCTCTCTTGGTACGCCTGTCGAGGCTGATGGTAAGGGTTCTTGTAGTACTCCTGAGTCCCCTTTCGGTAGGTTTGATTTCCTTTATGACTAATTTCTAATTTTCCTTGTTTGTTTCTTGCAGGTTTCGTCATGGATCGTGCTGCTTTTCTGAAGAAAGCTACTGTGAAGGCCGCCGAAGAGTCCCAGGCTAAGCTAGCTGCAAAGCAGCCCCAAGGCGAGGTGGGCGGGAGCAAGGCTGCAGCGGCCAAGAAACCGCCTCAACCAAAGAAGAAAAGGCAGCCTGACGACTGTCAAAAAAACTTGACCGAGGCTGGTTTGCAGCAGCAACAGCCTGCTAAGAGGTCCAAAGGCTCCTCTTCTGGTGCTGATGACGAGGGGATGCCCATCCCTGGTAGTGATGACGGCTCGGCTACCGTGATGGATCTTACCACGGGTCCTTCCTCTATTACCGCTTCCCAGCCCCCAAGAAGAAGAAAGGGTCTGGCCGAGAGCTGGCGCAGGGGACCTACGTCCGTGAGGTCCGTTATCCCCCCAAGGGTGGGGTGTTAAATGATATTGTCTCCGGACATGAGGTCATTTCCCAGGCCATTCTCGACGAGGACAGCGAGTACCTCCATCGGCAAGGTGACGCGAGGTTGTACGACGGCGGGATGGATTACATCATTTCTGTAAGTGGTCCTCCGTGGTTGTTGATTTGATCTTGTTGCTGTTTTTGTTGTGTTTTTTTGTCTCCATGGCTTAACGTGTTTTTCGTCTAGGGTGCCTTCATGATGATGGAGAACCAAAGGAGGCAGTAGGAGGAGATTGCCCGCTTGAAGGAATATGAGCAAAGGGCTGCCTGGGCCGATGAAGCGTTGGCTTGCCTGGAGCGGCTTCGGCTCGAGGTTGAGGAGCTGAAGAGGAAAGTTGAGAAGGATGTTGGTGAGATGGATGATGCCCTCCAAAAGCTGGTTGATGAGAAGAAAGCCCACAAGGAGACCCTTCATCATGCCGCTGAGGTTGAGAAGGCCAAGGTTGATGCTGAGCTTGAAGGCCAAGGACGATGCGGTAACCTCCTGTTTAAAGACGGGC